CAATAAAAAAAAATTAATCGAGTCCATATAGTTTTTAAATAAGATTTCGTGTTTTAATATTGTATTAACATTTAAATCAAATTCTACCTTATCTATAAAAAAAATATCCATAAAGTTTCAATAATACATTTAAACTTTTAAAAAATATTTAAAAAAAATACTATTTACCGTTAATTTTAGATGAAAATTATTAATAAATTATTTAAAAAATAATAATAAAAAACTTTTAACGGTATTAAAAAAATTCATCATTAGTACTATGTTTTAAAAATACCCATAAAATTTAAAACATAGCATTAACATCTTTATTAAAAAAAATCTTAGGGTCTATTATATGGACCAAAACTGTTTATCAACACATCATATATTATTTTTAATGTCCATATATGACAATTTTTAAAAATTCAAGTATATTTTTGAAACCCGTAACCATATATTTTTTCTTTTTTATTTTTAAAGTCGAAGGTATTTTTTATTTTAGTGATATTTTTATTAGTGTTTAAATAATATTAAACAGGACCGGGATGCTCATCGGTTGCGTACGGGGCAGCCGAGGAATTGGGGCCTTTCTTTCCTCAGAAAGGGGACGAACCAAAGCTTAAGTTCAACCCATACACTTGGAACTCAGGTAATTTTATCATTGTTTTTTTTAATGAAAATTACATTTTATTTTAAGTTAGTAATTAATAATAAGCTAAATCCTTTAATTTTTTTTAACGTCACTAAAATTACCATAGCTCTAACCGTGATAATAATACTTGATTCAGCGGCAAATCTATTGTTCTTGGAGTCACCGGTCGGAGTTGGGTTCTCCTACACCAACACTAGTCAAGACATTACTGACCTCGGTGACACAATCACAGGTATAAATTTGGTCATGTTTGACGTTTTTTTTTTATTAAATTACAATTTAATCTTAAATTTTATAAATACTAAGATAATCTACGTCAAATTTATTTTATTTAAATTAATTAAAATATGATTTTATTTTAGGAATTTCAATACTCGTTATTGAATTTTCTATTTTATTCATTAATTTAATAATTTTAATTTTTTTTTAGATATAATTTCGTCTTCTTAATTATAAAAATAGATGTTAAATTATAGAAAATAATTAAAATATCCTTATTTAAAATAATAATAATAATAAAACATTTACAGTTAAATTTTAGATAAAAATTAAAAATAAAAAACTAAAAAAAATAGTTTTTTATTCTTTTAATTTTGATTGTTAGCTAAGGATTCGTACGCCTTTCTAATCAACTGGTTCGAGCGATTCCCCCAATTCAAGTCCCATGAGTTTTACATCGCCGGCGAGAGCTATGCAGGTACCGGAATCTCTCTGTTTCTTCAATTTGATCGCATATTCCAATTCCTCTCTGTAATTAACTGTTCGTCGTCGTCGTCTTCTTCCTCCTCAGGCCACTACGTTCCGCAACTTTCAGAGGTCATTTTCGATGAGAACAAGAAAATCTCCAAGGAAAAACGAATAAACTTCAAAGGCTTCATGGTAATTCATTACAGCCTCTGTAAAATTGCTTAGAATCGTTCTTTACGTCTTCATCGCCTAACAGTTTTCGTCGATTTACAGATCGGAAACGCCTTGCTCGACGACGAAACCGATCAGCGCGGAATGATCGATTTCGCTTGGAATCACGCTATAATCTCCGATCAATTGTACGGACAAATCAGGAATAACTGCGATTTTAGAAGTATGGTTCCGTCAGCCGCCTGCCAGCCATATCTCAATGCCTATTTCTGGGTGTACAGTATCGTCAACATGTACAGTTTGTACTCTCCGGTCTGCGTGCGGACGAATTTGAGCCGCGGCGGCGGAAGGTGGCAGCGGCAGCCGGAAATCGACGGCGTTGCGCCTATGATATTCACGAAATATGTGAGTTTCTGAATCTGATTGATTTTACAGATTTTTGTGGTCCGGATCTGTTGAAACTGAATAACGGATTGGCGATTGGAGATGATTTTTTGCAGGAAGGATGGCACAAGAAGCCGACGGGATCTGATCCTTGTTCGTCGGATTACACTGTAAAATATATGAACAGAGCGGATGTTCAGAAGGCTTTGCACGCCAATGTCACTAAAATTCCATATGCGTGGTCCCCTTGCAGGTACTGAAACCGTATTCAACAACCATTTCAATAATTGCACAATTTGGCGTTGCTTATTGTTGATTCAACACTTTTTGAGTTGTTTCCAGTGATCAAATTTCATTGTGGAAGGATTCCCCACCTTCAATCCTCCCCATAATCAAGAAGCTCGTTGCCGGGGGCCTTCGCATTTGGATTTTTAGGTAACTCCAATCTTCAAAACCACTCTAATTTGAATTGATTTTGTTCGTTTATCCCATGATATCATACATTATGAACGGAAGTCACGATTCTTCAAAATTGTATGATATTGTCCGCTTGTTTTGCTTTGAGCTTTTCCAAAATGTCTCGTATCAATGGTTAGCTTATTCTTTATTTGTAAACTCGTCTTCTAAATTAGTCAATGTGGGACTCCTTCCAATAATCTTACAAACAAACAATTGAACAATTGAATCTGACTGCTTAAGAATCTATATTACGAAAGACTTGAATTAGATTATAGGATGGTTGAAGCTTCTTTGGCTCGTAGTCCAGAAAATAGAACCTCAACATTTTACAATATTCTAATTTTAATTCATACTTTTAATCTTTTTATCGATGATACGTATCCATTAATACTGATATATACTCATTCTAACCCTTAGTTCTATCGAATCTCATATTTGTATGTATCACAAATTTAGACTTTAATACCACTTTGTTCTTTATATTCTAATTGATAATGTGTTTGAAACTGTAGTGGAGATACTGATGGAAGAATTCCAGTGACCTCAACTCGATATACTTTGAACAAACTTGGTTTAAAGATCAAACAGGATTTGTTTCCTTGGTTTAGCAGCCAACAGGTACTTTTTACAATTAATCCTCAATAATATATCAACCACTCATTATTTTTTTGAATTTGAATTCTTACTTTTTAATCTTTTTATCGATGGTACGGATCAATTAATACTGATATATATTCACTCTGACACTTCTCATCTCTGTATGTATCACAAGTTTAGACTTTAATACCACTTTCAATCTAATGTATAACCAGTCGTCAATTTCTTCGATTTCTTTCGAAAGCGGATGATTATTCATCTGCTTCTCACGTTCCGTGAATAGCCGGGACATTGAGGAATATCCAGAAAAGCATTTAGGGAATCGGTCTAATTCTATCTATATTCCTTTCCTTTGAAGAAAGGAAGGATCCCAAAGAATCGATCTTTCTTTTAGTTGTTGAATCTCTCTTTGATTGATCAATGTGTGATATTCCGAATCCTCATTACTAATGGAATCAAAATGATCTCTGGATTGATCAGAAATCTTTTCAATTGGCTAGAATCCGTTACTTGAACGAAACTAGATCTTGTGAAATCATATTGAATATTTGACAAACGTTTTAAAAAAACATTCAGTGCGACACTTCACAAATTCGAAGACCCAGTTTGAAAACAATATGTTATCAAAAAATTTATTACTCGACCAACAAAGAAATATCGATATACTACTTTTGTTTATTGTGCGTGACGAACGAGCATACGTAATATTTGTTTATCGATAGGTTGGTGGGTGGACGATCGAGTACGAAGGGCTAACGTTTGTGACAATCAAAGGTGCTGGCCACGAGGTTCCGTTGTATGCCCCAAAGGAAGCTCTTCAGCTCTTTACGCATTTCCTGGCCAATAGCCGTATGCCAGATATGCCCTTTTAGATTCACTCTTAAAATATTATTAGTTTCTTTTTTTAATTTTAATTTCAATTTCTTAGTCACAGTATTTTGTTATTATTGTTTTAATCCACAGAAATGCCAAGATCTGCCTTCATGGACCCTTGTCTCTTAATTTATGAATTAATTTTTTTTAATAGTAATTTATTTTTGTGACTTTATCCACAATTTATCAACATTTCTATTAATATTTTATTATCGAGCATAATAATATATATATATATATATATATATATATATATATATATATATACAAATTATTATTACTATTTTTTTTCTCCAAATTATTGATGTAAAAATTAAAGGAAAAATTTGCAAAAACCGATAATATCTATTATTTATATACCTAATTTTAAAATGTCACAAATAATAAAAAAGTAGTTAATTTTAAAGGACATTAATAATAAAATTCTACATTTAATATAAATATAAGGTTGTTAAAGTCGTTTTTAGTAAATACCATGTTGATTTTAATCAAATATTTCATTATGGGTTAGGTCAATTTTATTTATTTTTGTCCAACAAACCAATTTTTCGATTAAAAAAAATACAAAAAAAAAGAAAAAAAAAAGTTGTTGTCACAAAACTGTCCCTTACCCAACTCAATTGATTACTAACCAAAATTAAACCACCAAATTTAATTTAATTCTTTATTTATTTTTTAAGGAAAATATTTTTCATTCTTTTAAGAAAGTACCGAATAACTTTAAATTTTAATTACAAATATTATTATTATTAATTTTTTTTGTAATTGGGTTGAGTTATTTTATTATTATTTTTAATTATTTAAACATTTACTAGTTGTAATACAGATTGATCGGGTTGACCAGATAAAAAAAGTGTCAACCCACACACTATATGGATATTTTTTTTAAAAAAATTCAACAATAAATATGAACTCGAAAAAAAATATAACCCAAGGAACAACAATTTTAAATACCCATTAATTTCATTTAAATAAAAAAATGTGAGAATTTTCCTAAACTTAACAATTTTATAATATTTTTTATTTAATATTCCACGAGATTAAAAGATTTGGATTTAAAATTGAGTTAAAGTTAGTTTTTTTTTATTTATTTAAAAGAAAAATATTTCGTTATCGTGAATATTTATATTTTAAAAGAATAATAATTAAATCTATATTTTATAAACCATGAACTCTCTGGAATATTCATTGTGAAAATTACATCTGGGCCCCTTTCTCCACTCGCGCGCTTTGTTCCACGCGCCACTCTTCACGCGCTCCAAATCCCATCCAGACCAGCGTTCAACCGACTTCCCTGTTCCTCTCTCTCACTTCTCTCTCTCTCTCTCTCTCTCTCTCTCTCTCTCTCTCTCTCTCTCTATATATATATATATATATATATACCAGTTCTCCACAGCCCCACCTTACAACTGCCGAATCAACCGCCGCCGGCGTGTTTAAGCTCCTATCGTCTTCTTTCAACGGTGAAATTTGCCGGCGGAGGGGGTCGTAGGTGTAGACATGTACAGGGATGTGTCGAGCTGCAACACCTACGACTACGGCGATGCTGTCTACTGGGACGCTCGTTATCTGCAGGAGGCTGGTTCTTTTGATTGGTACCAGCGTTATGCTGCTCTTCGCCCGTTTGTTCGCAAGTTCATCAGCACTTCCGCCTCCATCCTTATGGTTGGCTGTGGTAATGCTGGTAATTTCCCCAATTTCACCTTCGTGCCCTTTTCCAGTTTAGTTTTCTTTTCAGATTGGAATAGTTCTCGAGGATGTGTTGGAAGTTGGAATTGGAATGAATTTTCGATGCATTTGGTTTTTCTTTGTCCTAAATTGATGTTTGGTGGATTTTTTAGTTTATTGGATTGATGGATTTAGACGGTCTAGCATATGAAGAACTTGAATCGAGGAGCTATCTTGGAAACGTTTCGCTAAGAATTCGTAGTCACTAAGAACACGAGCAAATCGGTTTTAGTATTCATTTCTTTTTTCTTTTGGCTTTAATCTGGTTCTGAATTTTCACGTAAATTAGCATTGAGAGAATCAGTCTTGAACTAAAGCAGCTTAATGTTTGGTTTGAATCAATTTGAGCCGAAAGCATGAGCAGAATAGGAAGGCCAAGAAGTTCTTGAGAGGAGGTTCAAGTTCCTAGTTATCGAGGTTTTAAGCTTTATTTGGAATTTCTGAGCTTCATTGTCTCTGAAACTGTGTCATCTTTGGCAAAAATTTCCGCAATAACACATGTTAAGATGTAAGTATCAGTAAATAATTTGGTAGTGATAGATGCTATACTTACTGGTGATTTATCTACATAATTGAGAAGAAAGTGTGCCAAAATAGATAAATGATACGGTGAAATTAGGTGCTTGGAGAGGGGAGCGAAGCATTCCTTACAAGGGTGTGGAAACCTCTCCCCAATAAACGCGTTTTAAAACCGTGAGGCTGATGATGATATGTAACGGGCCAAAGTGGACAATATCTACTGGCGGTGGGCTTGAGTTGTTACATAATAGAACATTGATTTTGACATCTTTTGTACTTGTAGTTATGTCAGAGGATATGATCAAGGATGGATACGAAGACATAATGAATATTGACATTTCTTCTGTGGCAATTGACATAATGAGAAGAAAGTATCAGTTCATCCCCCAGTTGAAATGTATCCTCTTCAGGCTTGCATCTTTGTTCAATTATAATGTATGGTTTGTTTTGTTTTCAAATTAGCACTCGATATTTTTGTGTGACCGAATTGCGTTCGGTAGAGTTGAATCATAAATACTTGGGTATGGGTAAAGTATAAGGCAGAGATGGTCCTCGCTAATGTCGTTCTTGTATTCTCTTTTAGCTAAAATACAATTGGTTCTTAGTTTTCCACTTCAATTTCTAGTTCCTGCAAGTTTCCTTGACATATCTATATAGACATGCAAATGGATGTCAAAGACATGAGCTTTTTCCCAGACGAGAAATTTGGTGCTGTCGTCGATAAAGGTTTAACTTCTTGATCTTCATTCTACACACCGTCAAAATTTCCAATCTGTATCACTGAAGTTTTCTGTGTTCATCTTTCAATGCCGGTGCCACTTCTCTTTACTCCTGGCCGCTCGGTTCTTGATAATAGGGACACTTGATTCATTGATGGTACGTGAGCTTTCCATATTTCATATGCATGTTATTCACTGTTTTCTCTCTTAATCTAATTCTTTAATTTTGTGTACATAGTGTGGCACTGATGCTCCGATTAGTGCTGCTCAAATGCTGGGAGAAGTGAGTAGGTTGTGGACTTTATGAACATCATGTGGTTGATTGACTTGTTTTGATTCGCTCTGTTTTACATTGCTCTACTAATTTTTTCGTCTCTTACTTCTATAGGCTTCTTAAACCTGGAGGAGTCTATTTATTGGTAACCATTTTTCATCTCTGGCTTTTACTTTTTAGTGTTTTGTTTGCAGTAAACTAACCGATATATTTTGGTCGTTTGCAGATAACGTATGGCGATCCAAAAGTAAGGATGCCCCATTTGATGCGACCATCATACAATTGGAAGATAACATTGTTTATAATCCGTGAGTTCGTCGTTTTCGTCTCATTGACCTGTTTTTATTTTCAGATCTCTAATTGGTGCAGCCTTCTCTGGGTGTTTGTTTGCTTTCTCTTGGTTTTGTTTCAGTCCACGTCTATGAAGAAAAACTAATGATTAAAAAAATTTCTTAGACGACACTTAAGATAGTAGTCTAATATTAGATTTACAAGACCTCACTCCCTTAGTATTACACCTGTTGAAAGCTCTGATCATGAAGTATGAATGCAATTACACAAAATAAAGCATTTTTTGCAAGTAGGAAATTAATTGATTGCTACGTTCTCTTTTGTAACGGTCCAAGCCTACCGCTAGTAGATATTGTCCTCTATGTGCTTTTCCTTTCGGACTTCCCCTCAAGGTTTTAAAACGTGTCTGCTAGCGAGAGGTTTCCATACCTTTATAAAGATGCTTCGTTTTCCAACCAACCGATGTAGGATCTCACATCTTTGCTTCCCTCTTTTGATCTTTGGTACCACTGCCCAACTACTCTCCACGGCCCTTGCCCTCCAAAAGAACAAATGAAAGGAATCGCTAAATGTAGGTAAATTCAAGTCATTTTGCTTTGATGTGTAAACGGGTGTGCTGTTGCCAACGCTCTCTAGCTGCGTTTTCACAGCTGAGAAAATTAGATGATTTATGGACCGACAAGATAAAGCGATAAACTTCATCCAACGTGGTATTTATTGGAACAATACATCTACTATTACCCGCTCCGCTGACTTTCCTATTCTGGAAACAAGGCTTGATAGAGCTAATTCGTTCTTTGCTGTTTTAGCTTCTCAAACTCTTGAACTACTGCTGTGCCCAATTTTGCTTACCCAAACGCTGATTCCCTTGTTATGTTTTTCATGGATGTGATCTTGCATCCAGTCTGTACACGACGGTATTATGTTTGCATTCATCTTTGTTAAATATAGAAACAAGTAGATTCGTTATTAAGTTGAATATGCTAGCATCAGACCTCGGGCACTCTTTACTTCTTGCAAAAGGTTTTAGGTTCGAGTTTTCCCGTCCCACACATGATATAATATTCTCACTAGAATAATTACGTTGAACCCAGTTTTTATGAGCATTGTTGCTTTGGACAATTGCCAATAATGTCGAAACCGATTCGCTTTGCTTTTGCAGTTGGATAGTCTTGCTCAACTTTTACTTCCTTCTACTGAAAATCATATGTTACAAGATAGTTCATCACACTCTCTGTTATTAAAGAGCTTAGGAAATACACATTTGTCATTCCCCTATTTTCATCCATTACTTTCTACAGCAAGGCCAGGATTTGAAAGGCCGGAAGGGTGCAGCACACCAGAGAAATCATATCTAGAACCAGTGCCCCTAACCGACAAGGGCTTGCTATCACCGAGCTTTGTCATGGAAGACCCGGATTCTCACTTCATATACGTGTGTCAAAAGATGGACGACCCGAATCTTAATAACGCAGCCCCATACCCGTTGAACACAAACGTGTTATAGAAACAAAGAAGGTACCTTACATACCTTCTTGTATCATTTGCATTGCTGCATCCATCCTATTTACAAGCTTGATCATGCATTATTGTTGTAAAATAATGTTATTACTTGTAAAGGACATAAAGATGTGGAAATTAACACATAATTGAGTCTAGGCGGAGAAAAGCTTGTTTGATACACAGAAACAGATGAGATCACTCTGTCTTTGGCCATGTTTTGTGCTGTTTTTTCTTGGTTTACCTTAAAAGTTTGAGCTTCACGTACACGTAAACTTGAGCCACACGTACAAGATATTGAGCATTTAATGGTCGGGATGCTTGTTGGATGGAATGTTTGAGGCCCTTAGTTCATTATCATTATTCCTTTCCCTTCTCTTATTTGAATCTGAAAGTTCAAAGTTGATTTTATTCAAATTTTGTGTTTGGAAGGTAGCTGGAAATGAAAAGAGAATAATCTTTTTTACCCATATGAGCTCGTAATCTTGTTTTTTACATTAGAAAAATTACGATAGGACGAGGTTAAATAAATAGTTTATCCCATCGGACTATTCGTTCAAAAGAATAATGTAATTATAAATCATTCTATTTCCCGTGATAACTAGATAGACCATGGTTTTGGTATTTCAAAATGTTTAACTTCATGTTGTAAGGAAACTCGGGCATTAATGTTAGAACATTTCAAGTACGAAATGTTCACTTAATACTTGCTAGTGTCCGATCACTAATAGGCCTGAAGAATTCTTTAGGAGTGAGAGAGAGAACAGGGAACGATTTCTCCTGATGGGATTCCTTGTTTCCGTATATATAACATTTCATGCTTCTATTAGCTTGAAAAATTACGGAAGATAATTTTTTTTCAAGTGGTGAAAGTTATATTAAATATTAAAATTTGAATTTTTAAAGATTATGTCGGTAAAACATTATATTATATTATATCTAATATTAGACCGACATATACACAACAAAAACTTACAACATGCAACAATTTATTTTCTGATTTTACTAAGCCTTTCGTCTTAAAGATTTTTTTACTTCGTGATAATTTATATCTAGTCGGTGGGTGTGATGTCTCACATTGGTTGGGGAGGAGAACAAACCACCATTGATAAGGATGTGGAAACCTTCTCCTAACAGACGTGTTTTAAAGCCTTGAGAGGAAGTCCGAAAGAAAAAGCTTAAAGAGAACAATATCTGCTAGCGGTGGATCTGAGTCGTTAAAATGGGGCTGAATTTCACTCGCCATAGTGCCTCATGAAAATAAACGAGCCATTACCACTGAACTTATTATGATATTACATGCTATTTACATTCATCAAATCTCGAACATTAGAACATAACGAACTATATTGAATTTAACTATTGAATTTGAGTATACCAAGTTTATTTATTTACTTTTGAGTTCACCAATTTTGGGATTTATTGGTACAAACATTTTTTATCTCTGTATAATATTTTACAATTTCAACCAAACATCAAACAAAAGAGGGGAAAAAAAAAAAAAAAAACATCCTCGATTTAATGTTTGGGTTGTCTGAAAGCATCAAGCAATCGGCTTCTTCCGTCGAGAACCTCCGAGAATCTTCCATCCACCTCCTTCACCAATCTCTCCACCGCCTTCTCCAATCTCTCTAATCTCCTCCTCATCTCCTCCGCCGCCTCTCCATCGCCGCCGCCGCTGCCAATGACCTCCTTCGCCGCACAGTTCACCTCCTTCACCTCCTCTGGCACATTCCCCTTCTTGGAAACTACCGAATCCAATTCTTTAAACGCCGGAACCGCCACGCCGGCGGCCAATCTTCTCATCTCCAAATACGCCGTCGAGTCTCCCTCACAACCAGAAATCACAACCCCACAGACCCAATACCCAATTCCCATCATTGTCGCCAAAGCTCTCTCAATCGCCCATTCCTCGCTGGAGTAACCCTTCTTCCGATCAGCCACAATTCCTCTGTTTTCCAATCCCATAAAATTCCTCTTCATAACAATGGGTTTCAGACGGGCCACCGCCATTAACGGCGAGCTCCGAACCAAACTCAGAGCATAAGCAAGGGAAAGCCGCGAATTCCCCAATTGGGATAAAGAAAAACTGACGGAATTAAGAAGATCAAGCAAATTTAAACTATAATTCAAATACCCATCAACCAAATCGGCGCCCCATTTCGCAACAGGGCAGTCCAAATCGACAACCAATTTGGCAAACGCCTGGTGGAGAACAGGCAGAGCTTGAAGAAGCTGAAGAAGCCAATGAAAAGACAACGTTGTCGAATCGGAGCTCGACAACAGGAGTTGATTCAGACAAGACGAGACCTCAGCATCGAAGGCCTGAAGACAAGAAACAGAGAACGAAGCTCTGTTTCCATGGCGGCTGTGGTGATGATTGTAGAACTTGGAACAGTGCTTGTTGAAGGATTGAAGCAAAAGCAGCATTACAAAGGGAGCTGAAAGTTGCAGAAATCAAAAGGGTTTTGTTGTGCTGATTTGTGTTTAACAATGGCGGGCGGTGGCGTTCTGAGAATTTATAGAAGGTGGGGTGGAGGAAGAAGGAAGCCGCCGGAGAGGAAATCCGCGTGCGCCGTGGCTTTGACTGCTTTGTTTAATTGAATCATTTTTCTTGTGATTTAAAATATGATTTTAATGCTTACTTTTCAAGTTCGCGTCAAGTTTACGATTTCATCGTGTTCTTCCCATCTCATTTTCTTAATAATAAATTTTTAATTTTTTTTTTAAAATAAGGATTAATTTTCAATACTATTTTACATTCTTATATTTAAAGAATATTGGCATTTTCTCTAACGGGTTTTTTCGAATCACGACTCTCTACAACGTTGTTATGATATTGTTCACTTCATAAGCTCGACTAACTTTGCTTTTAGTTTTCTCAAAACGTCTCGTAATAATAAAGATATTGTTCTTTACTCGTAAATTCATGATCTACGTGGAACTAATCATTTCAATAATACTCAACATCGACCAATCGGAGCAGAATGATAGTAGTGATACCGAAATGCGATTTGAAAAGGCATTGGAAAGTTTTTCTCGATCCCCATTTCATATAAGACACGTTGAGAAGAATTTCAAACTTGGTTTCATTTGGTTGGATTTTCACTGAGGAACGAAAATTTTCTAGTCATTTGGTTTCGTTGGGATCGATCCCGAAAAATAACAGTTTTATTAAAATATTGCCTCAAATATTGAGCTTTGTGATTTTAATTCAAAAATCTCGTTTGTTGGTTACTGTTCTAATATCGAAACGCATTGTTTCTAGATACACTGTTATCTCATATGGATCTGCCTTCGCACAAGGCAAGGATTTATCGTTTAAAATAGAGAACGACGAGAGTCAGAAGAGATGCCGTCAAATAGGGTAGAGATTTATCGTTTAAAACAGAGAACGACGAGAGTCGAAGAGATTTCTACCAATTAGATAAATAGGACCGAGAATCGAAAATTTAGCATAAGGTTTTGTTATTTAGAAGGTCGACGAGAAAAATAAATAAATCCACGGATTAAATAAAAAGCTGTGGGCTGTTGATTAAGCAACACGTGGAATACCGCAGCTTTCTCTTTCCACTCCAATTTATTATATTTAATTATTTCAAAAAACCGCTGACCTTTCTTTATTTGGTCAAAATTGACTTTTAAACGCGGTCAAGGCAACGAACAATTTGGAGGCTGTCCAAGTATTTATTGCTGCGAGGAAGTTGGAATATAAATTGATAGGAAAAATAAAGAGTTAACATTAAAGCTTAAAATATAATTTAAATTTTTTAACTTTGTATTTAATAAATTTATAATTTTTAAAAATATCCCATAATTGACAAAGATATTATACATAAAATTTAAATTTGTATTTAATAGACATAAAATGGTTCAAAATTGAAAGATTTTGCACTTTTTATTTATTTATTTATTTTTGTAAAAATACTTTTTATTATATGAAAGAAATAAAATATAAATTTTAATGTAAACTTTTTTTTTTTATAAAATTTTGGAGTATTTAATTATAACCCACCGACTGAAGAAAAGCTGTGAGCTGAGCCGTTGTATACAACGCGTGTGGACAACGAAAAACAGCTTTCGGTTTGTATTTATCCACTTCTTATTTATTTATTCTTTTTTTTTTTTTTTTAATATCACGTTTCGTTCGTTTGTTTTATTTTAAAAAATAAATTTAAAATACTATTTAACATTTTTTTAATTATTTTATTTTAGTTGGGTTAAATTAATAAAAATATCCGTTAAATTTTAAAAAATTTAAATAATATTTAAAAAAAAAAATCTAAGATAATTTTCACTTATTTTTAGATATTAGTATATTAGTAGATAATTTGTATCCTAATAAACAAGATAGCAGTTTGGATCCCATTTCTATTTTTTGTTTTTAACATAATTTTAAAATAATTTTTATACTTTGGTTAGGTCCGTGTAAGTACTTCTTCTTCGTCTACAACGTAATCGACAAAATTCGTTCGGGTTTTGTTAGGTCAATTTCTATATATTATTGGAACATACTCCCACTTGACTAGGCCATACCAAATGTCTGCCTTTTCTTGGTTTTAATTTGCAAGTTTTTCAATCAATTATTTTCTACATAATTTATTTCGATAATATTATTAAAAAAACGTAAATAATAATAATAATAATAATAATAATTAAAGGTAAATAGATTATAGAAGAAAAAACATTTTTTTTAAATTCAAAGTTTGATTTTTAAATGTTTTAATTATAATCCATAAATAATAATAAAATATTAAGTTATTAGTCATGACTTTCCACGTGGCATTAAATATGAATATATTTATTTAAATATTTATATAGGAATTTTGATGTGGACACACTATTGGCCTATCATTGGTTCCCATGACCCTTCCTCTTTAATATTCCTTAGAAAATGATAAATTAATCAAATCAATTTATTTTAATTATATAAAAATAATTTATTTTCTTTTTTTGAAAATTTTGTTTGGAAAAAAATAACCATAGATCTATCCTCCCTTCGTTTTTTTCTTAAAAAAAATTGAAAAAAAAAATTAAAAAATTGTTAATTTGAAAATGGATTTTTGATAGATATAAACCGTTTCTAATTAATTTATCATTCAATATATTTAAAAAAATATTATTAAAAAATATATTCATTGGGCTAATTTACATTTCATTTTAATAATAATAATAATAATACGTAATCGTTCCGAATTTTTTTTTTTAACCAATCTAAATTTTCACGTTTGGTTGGGTTAGATTGTCGGGTTGTTTTAACCCAACTCAACCCTCTATTTTCGAGTTTGATTGGGTTAGATTATCGGGTTGTTTTTTTAATAATTATTTTAAAAAATCTTACTATATCAAATAGTCACAAGGGATAGCGTATCTGATAACTGTCAAATATCCTTATTTTTTCATTATAATCTTAAAAGTAAGATGGGTTAAATTAGGCTGTAGCCCTATTTTTAGGTATTCGAGTTTAATGTCAACTTGCAAATCAACCTAAATTTTTCGGTTTTCAAAAAATTCAACCGAACACTTATAATTTAAACTGAATATTCTAAATTGTTCGGATTATTGGATCATATGAACTCGAGGTTAGTATCAATTTGCGAATCAACCTAAATTTTTCGATTTTCAAAAAATTCAACCCAACCCTTCTAATTTAAACTGAATATTTCTAAATTGGTCGGATTATTGGATGATATGAACTCGTTTAGAATCGGATTATCTAGTCATACTAAATTTTAAACTTTTAGAATCAAAGTGATCAAATCATACGGTTCTCATTCTCTCACCATCTTCCAATAATTCCGCGGATTGATCTTGGCATTTTAATATCCATGAAATTCAATCGACCTCACATGGCGCAACATGATTGGCGGTGAGACAACATTTCATCTCATCATCAGTCAACTAATTGATTAATTAATTAATTTCCGCTTCGACTATTTCTATCAAACCCGATGTTCATGGCCGATTTTTCAATCTCTTGATCGATATTCGTCATTTTTAAATCTCTAAAGACCGAGAGATAATCCAGATACTCAACAGTCTGGATCCAGAATCGAAATCTCCGAATCTCCGTCTATTTAACTCCTCTGCAATTCCTGTTTCAACAGATCAGAGTACCAAAAATCCGCAATGGCAATGAGAAATTCAGAATTCGGCAGTTCAAATCTCCTCTGTTTCTGCTTCTTCTTCTTCGTTTTCTCCTCGTTTTCGATTCAAATCAATGCGAAGAACCAGAAGCAAGCCCTAGACGCGCTCTACAAATCGAAGTTCTTCAAGAACTCAAACGCCGCTGCTTCATCTGAACTTTTCGATCCTAATGCAGTTCTTGATCAAAACGCTGATGACCTGCAAACGGTTGAGATTTACGATCAGACTGGACTGAAGCGGCGAGACAAAATCCAACGCTTACCAGGACAACCGCCGAGAGTTAAGTTATCGCAGTACGGCGGTTACGTGACTGTGGATCAATCCGCCGGCCGTGCTTTCTATTACTACTTCGTTGAATCTCCTCATCACAAGAATGCATTGCCGCTTCTTCTCTGGCTCAATGGAGGTACGTCGGAAAGTTCGATTTAAGGTTTTTCACTGATCGGAAAATCGTTGAATCCAGATCGATTCATCGATGGCTTCTTGATCGGATTAGTTTTCTTTTGTCCTCTCTGTTTCGATTTCTCTCTCCATCTTATCTACGATTTTCTCTCTCCAAATAATTGAGAACAGATCGGAAACGATCTCGTTCCGTAAAACAGATTCAAGAACAACTCATTATCATGATTTTGCTTCTTCTTCTCCGCACTAATTAATGTCAGAATTTCGCGTGTTTTTTAATTTTTCTTTTGTTATTATTCTTTTTGCATCAACTTTTTAAATAATTTAAAATTAAAACTTCTACAATTAATTGTAACCGTCTCTACTCCTTGGAGAATATCGCGGTATGCATGGTGTATTATATTATCAAATTAAAAAAATAAAATATTTAATTTAATAAATAAATATCTTATTATTTGTATTATATTCGCATTAATTATATTTTGTATCTATATTTTATTTTATCATATGATGCATATCATGCAAATATTGAATGTCACATGTAAGATGAAGTTAAAATTATTAAAAAAAAAAAAAAAAAAACAGCATGCAACGTGTCATCATATGATTGGTTGTGTAGGTCCTGGGTGTTCGTCTCTTGCCTATGGAGCCATGGCTGAATTGGGTCCGTTCCGCGTTCGTAGCGATGGAAAAACCCTCTTCGAAAATAAATTCTCGTGGAATCACGGTATGTATTATTTTCGTTTATATATAAATATATTTTTGCTGGTTGGTATTTTATTAACTAACTAATATTAAATGTTTTAATGAATTTAGTTGCGAATGTGTTGTTTTTGGAGTCGCCCACTGGAGTGGGATTCTCGTATTCAAATACGACGTCGGATTACAAGACTAATGGAGACAAGAACACGGCAAAAGATAATTACGCGTTTCTGGTAAACTGGTTGGAGAGGTTTCCAGAGTACAAGCAACGGAGTTTCTACATTGCTGGTGAGAGCTACGCCGGCCATTACGTCCCTCAGTTGGCTCACACTATTCTTTCACATAATAAGAAAGCGGGCAAGACGATTATCAACCTCAAAGGCATTATCGTAAGTCTCTGTTCTAAACTAATTTATGTTAATAAGTTTAGGGTTTAATGATTAGATTAATGAAGATTAGTTATAGATTATGCAATTAATTAAAAGAATTGGTGTTGGGTCCACGCCCAATCATAAGAAACGCACAGAGCGCCAACGAGCACAGGCTCTGGTGTCAGTAGTTAGCTACAAAAAGTCCCTCACGAGTGATGGGAGGGACGGTGGGGGCTGCCCCACGCCGCCCAACTTGCCCACCTTCCATGGCGCCATCCTATCATACTCTTACCTGCTTTCCCTCCTTTATCTTAAACTAAATACTTTTCCAAAAAATGAAATTTAAACGTCCGGGGTAGAATGGGAAGAATTTATGGACGAACACAACAATTTATCGTTGATTATGATTCCCTTTTGTTTTATTTCAGATTGGAAATGCAGTGATCAATGACTTAACCGATCAAATTGGAATGTACGACTTCTTTGCATCCCACGCATTAATCCACGATAGAACAGCCAACGACATCAAAAACTTTTGCGACTTCTCTCCTGACGCAACAGTACAGAGTAAAATGTGCATTGATGCAATGAACACAGTGGATCTAAACACTGGTGTTGTTGACATCTACAACATCTACTATCCCATTTGTCAAAACACCAACTTGACAGATCGACCGAAAAAAGCCACGGTGATGAACTACGACCCTTGTACTGATTACTACACTTTTGCGTACTTGAACCGGGCCGAGGTTCAAGAAGCCATGCACGCCAACGTAACGAAGCTTTCCTACGATTGGGAGCCTTGTAGCGATGTCATAACTGGCTGGTCCGATAGTGCTTCTACCGTCATTCCACTACTACGAGAGTTCATAAAAAGTGGATTGCGAGTGTGGGTTTTCAGGTAATTTCGAAAACATATCTATAATAATTAGTATGAAGAAAGAAACCCAAAAACATGATCATTACGATTATGTCTTTGGTAGGGTTTGTTTGGTGGAAAAATGGTAGTAACTAACTATTTACAATATGGCGTGTAGCGGTGACGTTGATGGAAGAGTACCCATTACTTCAACCAAATATTCCATCGACTCCATGAATCTCCACGTCAACATATCTTGGTATCCATGGTTTATGGCTAACGAGGTACTTTCACGCTCTATTTCTCTTCTAAATCTTACCTAAATTTTTATAATTTACGACGAGTATTAGACTAAACCCATCTAAATCGTCATAAAAACGTTAATTTTTACCGAACAAAAAAGAGGTTAATTAAGAATTGAAACGGGTGAAATGTATAGGTTGGAGGGTATGCAGAAGTGTATGAAGGGGAGTTGACATTGGCAACCGTGAGAGGGGCAGGGCATGAAGTGCCAAGCTACCAGCCTAGAAGAGCGCTTGCCCTCATCAAACACTTCCTTCAAGGGACGCCTCTCCCTCCTTTTCATCCCCCTTCCTCATAAACAAAATTCCCTTTTTTTTTTTCTTAATTTATTTTTCATCTTAGATTCTTCATTTTATGTGTCACCAATAAATAATTAAATTGGAGTGAACTTTGTAATCTTCCCTTAATTTATTAGTATATTGTTTTTGTTTTAGCTTCGAGAACTCGTAATTATATGTGAATGCAATAAAGTAATGGTCGAAAATCTCTGAAGGAACTGGCTCAGTAGAAGGAATTGGTTGTTGAGGATCGTCGAGTCCCGTGTTGGCTAATTGATGAAATATCACGAGTATATAAGTATGTGACACTATCTCCATAATAACGTGGAGGTCTTGTGTCAATTAGTGGTATCAAAGTCGTGTCCTTATCTTAATTTAGTTATGTCAATAGAATCTACTACGAGTGTTGAACAAAGAAATTGTGAGCCTGAAGGTGTAGTCATAGTGAAGATCCGTGGTAGAGCTCTATTGGACTAATAATGTGCTTTAGAGAAGATGAGTTGTCATGATAGTGTTAGATGTTCGTAAGGAGACTCAATGGTGTACTTTATTCGGCTAATTAAAGGAGAGATTCCGAGTATATAAGTACGACACACTATCTCTATTGAAAAGTAACGAAGATTTATGCTCAAATTGGACAAGATCATACCAATTTGGAGGTCACTATTCCCGTCATTAGCTTGATTAGAGGTTGAAGCTTGGACCAGGCGGAGGAAGTTGATAGGAATGCTTGACGGAGGAGGAAGTAGCCGAAGCTCTAGCAACGATGAGCAGCAGTTGCTGGAATTGACGACTAGTTCTATTACGTTCTGTATTACAATTTTATTATCTCAACTTTTAAAATTTGAGATTTAATTAGTTAAATTATTTTTTAATTAACATTCATTTTAGTTATTTTAAATGGATGTGAAAATTGATATTTAATAATTTGATTACGTAAATAATTATATTTATATATATATATATATATATGGAATATTTATTGCTAAAATTATTTATAAAATTATTTATATATATATAAAAGAATAGAATAGAAGAATCAAAATGAATTTCATAATTAATTTGATTTATTTTCAACTTTTTAAATAAATCTAAAATTCGTAGATGGGCTATGGGCCTTGTATCCATCAGCAAGATCCAAAGCCCACACAGGTTCTTCAGCATGTAGCCACCGGGCTTCTTCTCCAGACGTTGGCATTTTGCTTCACCAATCCTTTCCCCGTCCGTGAATCAGCTTCCGAACAACACCGGCGATGGCTCCTCCAACGGTCGCCGACCGATCCTCGGCGAGAAGGCGGAGTAATATTGATGCAAAACCAGTTTACTCCCTAAGTCACGACATCTTGTGCATAATCTTTTCGTTCCTCGACCTTTTCGACTTGGTTCGATGCTCAGTTGTTTGTAAATCCTGGTACTCATTTTATCTGTTACCTATGAAGAAAGAAGGGAGTAGAAAGCGTGGTTAATTTGTTTGATTTAGTTGCAGTTTATTTTTCCCGTTAATTTGATATCTCTAACGAATTTTTGAATGTTCTTGAAGGAATAATGCTATTTTTAATTCCGAACTATTGCGAACATTTTGCATGAAGCATCAGAAGCAGGAGATGGAGTCTTCTAGCTCTTTCGAAGTATCAGCTTCTTCGGAGAAACCATTGTTGGAATGTTTAGAGGAAATAGCGATGGAACGACACAAGTTGGCGTTGGAAGAAGGTCGTATAAGAGTTTCTCAATGGATGGGCCATTCAGTGAGGTAACTTTGGCAAGATGGACAGTCAATCTAGATATTATTTATGAATTATATACTGCCTCTGTTCATTAATCATACTTGTTATGGAGCATCTGAAGTTAGGAGTTTGATTGCTGCATTTTCAGTTTAAATCGCTTCCTTACTTTACTGTTTTACGTTTCCCTGTCTGGATTTATCTATAGCTGATAATTCTTTATCCTCGGACCTGTTACTGTATACAAATGATAATTCTTTATCCTCGGACCTGTTACTGTATACAAATCTTTCTAATCAATATACTTTTTGTATTTCCTTTCGGTAAACAATCAAAACAATCTGACAAAGTGTTTGTCGGTTGTTTTGTTGCGTTGTTCTTAATGGAAAAATATTTTGAAATTCTCATTAGCATTTCGTATTACTGTGCAGATTATCGTTTCTTTTGTTTTTGGTTTGCATAATAACTCACGTAACATGGATTTCTATATAGGGCTGAACAATGCCGAATGAAGATGGGTTTGATTCTTACAGGAGTGGGTGATAAAGTATAGCCTCTTACTCTATTATTTGGTAGATTATTTATTTGTCCAGTCCTCCAAAAGAGAAAATAAAAAAGAAGATGAATGAATCATAAACAAAAGTTCGAGCGTGGACGGGTAGAGATAGCCATGTACTTTTATATGGAGTACTTCCTACATTACATTCAAGCGTGCATGAGAGATTGGGATGTAATTACTTTGCAATTCTGATATTAGCTTGTTTACGCTCTCATGTTTTCTGCAATTCCAGGTTATGAGACTTTGGTCGTCGGAGAACTTCAGATGTCTGGAAGAATATTCCATTCCGGAGAAACTGCCTCTAATTGACTTTGATTTTGATGAGAGCAAGGTAATATCAATGTATCTCTTATAAGTATGCTGATGTTTTTGCTACCCGTCTAGAAAACTTTTGACAAAGCATGCTATACTATATGAAAAGGTGAGTAGATGCATTCCTTCCTTTTCATCAGTTACTAAGCACTTTTCTGGGTGGAATTCTGAACCTTATTATTTCCCAATAGAGAACTGATATTTGCCAAATGAAATCTAATTTCTCTAGCCATTGTCTTGTCCTAGATTGTTGGTTTGGTTGGTAGAAACTTGTGCATATGGAGTCGGAGTGGGAAACGAAGTATATTTCCTTCGCGTGAATGTACGTTTGTGGAGGGTTCATGTATGCGGTAAGTGGAAATACCACCATAAATTTCTATCTGTTTTCAAAACTAACTTGTTTAACATCAATTTCTTTTTAATTACGTTTTAAACATTTTAATTTATCCATATATTTTCGTACTTATATTGATTTTGTCCTGTAATTTAACTTATCAATCCAATAGTCTCTGGTACACCAGTTTATGTTTATAATATGAAAGAATGATTGTCATTGCAGCCTTGGTCCACAGTCATTTGTAGACTTGAAGCGAGTCTTCTCAATTTGTTTTCAATTAATTTGTATAATGAATCTTCCAATCCTGCTTACAGTTACTTTGATCCGGAGGCTGTTGTTGGTTGTGGAGATGGAACAGCTCATGTATTCGACATGTATAGTAGGAGATGCTCTAGAATTGTCAGGTAAACCAGAAGAAATATAAATGACATGACACTTCTCCTTCACCTGTTCTTTGGACTGAGGTTATTGACAGACTAAGTTTCGGCAATGACTGAACAGACGAGGAACAACCATTAGAAGTTGAGTTGGTGAAAATAACGTCACACAAGTTTGATATTCATTACTTTTTCTTTCACCATGCACACAAACACTCATGCTGACATTTTCACATTAGAATAAAAAGAGAGATCCATTTTGGTACGAACCAAAGGTTAATGGAAAACTAATTTTCAGGATTTCTTATTACTTGTTTAGTTTCATGTAATTTCCTAAATGGTTGACATATCATGCACTTCTATCTTGACTTTTGCACCAATTTTGTTAATTTTACATTGCAGGATGCTTCCTGGGCCAGTGACATGCTTATGTGTGGGTGATGATCAGCTCATACTTGGGGGTTCCCTTCATGGAAACATTGGAGTATCGGGTCTTCGGTCTGATCAGCGGGTAGCAATGCTTAGATCAAGAAATACCATAGGTCATGCATATGGCAGTCTTACTTTTGCACCTTTCTCTTCTCCTTGTCTCGTCGTTTAAAAATTTTCTGTCTCGGACTTTCTGAATCAAATATAACACGATAAATCGTCCTCTGAATTAGAGACAAGAATAGAAGCAACTCAAGCAGTGTAGTTTAACATCTGAAGTAAACAAACAGTCTCAAGTAGTTTGCATATAGCTAATCTAACCGTCCTTCTCAAAGCACTTAAAAAAAATTCTTTTCAACTAGAGAACATTTATAGATTTCCTTGTGGTTAGTTCGTTCCCTTCGTGTACATATATCGAAAAGTAATTCCTTTCCACTCAGATTTGTTTTAGTGTATATTTTATTACAATTTCTGCTTGCAGGCATAAAGACCATGTGTTACAATGCTTCTTCACATTTAGTCTTTGCGGGATCAACTGCCGGACATGTCTATTGTTGGGACCTCAGGTAAGTAAAAAGTAATTTAGATGTAACTTCAGTAAATTGGTCTGGTCACTGATGGTATCCAACAAAAACAATAAGTTAATGGAAGATAGCTTCAGGCCAAGAAATGAATAGCTTTAACCAACATTGAATTTCCATTGCTGTTTGAATACTGAAACAAAATGAAATTATTTACTTCTGAAGGGAAGAAACGTTCTGATTTTACAATTCTTGCTGTCTATGATGTTCTAAATTCGGACCGTGTCATTTATTTATTTACTGCTTTAGTCCCTTTCTTCAAATTATATACTCTCATTGAGCTCTGCACATTTCTTAGGACAATGAAACCTTTATGGGAATCCCGAGTGAGCCCGAATGTCGTATATTCTTTACGACACCTCCAAAATGACAGGTCAAGTTTGGCTGTTGGTGGAATAGATGGCATTCTACGTATTTTGGATCAGAATACAGGCACGGTGCGGTCGGGTTGTATTATGGATAGTAGACTGTTATCGACGTATCAGAGCGGGGTTGGAGTCGTGGAAGAAAGGATAGGAAATAGACTGTCAGATGAAACTCCTATTGATGCCATACACAGAAGGAGTAGGCCTCCGATCACAAGCTTAGCCGTTGGGATGAACAAGATAGTCACAACGCACAACGATAAGTTCATTAGATTATGGAAGTTTCGAAACTAGTTTTTCCCCAGCCTGGGATTCATGGTTCTTTGTTTTGCTCTTATTTACTGTACATATTTTAGTAACTTTTTTTTTTTTGTGATGAATTTTGTGGTCAGCATTGTGGAATTATGTAGATACAACGTTTGATTTCCAGTGAAATTTCTAGGTTACAATCCACTGGATGGGGATAATATTTTGGGTTCTTTTTAATATTAATACTATTTTAGCTCCTAAGATTCTTCTTTATATATATATGTATGTGTGTGTATATATATATATGTGTATGTGTGTATATATATATATATGTATGTGTGTGTATATATATGTGTGTGTATATATATGTATATGTATGTGTGTGTGTATATGTATGTGTGTGTATATATATGTATATATGTTTTAATTAAGTTATTATTATTATTTTTAATTTAGTCTCTACATAGCTTTTGTGACTAACATATTTTAAGAAAATATTTTTATTGAATATAGGATGTGAATTGTGCTTTAATGAGTTCTAGTAAGTTCTAGTATGCAATGTCAAATAGTCCTGCATTCTTGGTCCAAAAAGTGTATTGTTGGAATTGGATTGGAACGCAATGTACTCGAGATTTAGGGGTTGCCGCTAGTCAAACACGTGGGATTGTTGGAACTAGGACTGCCGCAGTAGTCGAACACAGGAGATTGTAGGAATTGAGTTATGTGGCTTGATATTCAAGGGTTGTCACTGTAGCCGAACATGAGGGAAAAGTCATTTATACTGATACTAACAGTATCATTTTTTCGGACAATAGATATACTCAAAGAACTCCATTAGTATCTATGTATCAACGTTTTAACAGTTCTAGGTTCCTCAGGTATGTCGAACTAAAAAAAATTATCATATCCAAATTATGAAAATTAACTAAATTTTTTTAATTATGAAGACTAGGTTAAAATAAACGACAATAGGTTAAGTAAATCACAAACCAATGGAGGTTAAAACGGTAATTTAATTCATTTTTACAGACTAAAAGGTGTATGATAAGGCCCAAATTCTCACGACTCAAAGATCAAATACCCGAAACACCCTTCGCTGTTTCCATTTCATTCTCCCTGTTTACGCCCCTTCATCGTCGATTTCGATCTCCATTATTTCTCCATCTTCAACCCTAATTCCGCCGAGAGCTCCGATTACCAGTCCAACCATGGTCTGCATACGCAAGGCGGTTGTTGACGACCTTATGGCAATGCAAGCCTGCAACCTATTTTGCCTGCCGGAGAATTACCAGATGAAATACTACTTCTACCATATTCTTTCCTGGCCTCAGCTTCTTTACGTCGCCGAAGATTACAACGGTCGGATCGTCGGCTACGTTTTGGCTAAAATGGAGGAAGAAAGCAACGAGTGCCATGGACATATTACCTCACTTGCTGTGTTACGAACGCATCGGAAGCTCGGTTTAGCTACTAAACTCATGAGCGCGGCTCAGAACGCCATGGAACAAGTTTATGGAGCGGAATATGTCTCCCTCCATGTGCGGAAGAGTAATCGGGCTGCTTTTAATTTATATACGGAGACTTTGGGGTATAAGATTCATGATATTGAGGCGAAGTACTACGCGGATGGTGAGGATGCTTATGATATGAGGAAGCAGCTTAAAGGAAAGCAAATCCATGGAACCGGGCATCACCACCACCACCACCACCACCATCATCATCCTCACCATCACCACCATCATGGTCATGGTCATGGACACGGGCATCAGCATGGTGGTGGGTGTTGTTCTGGCGGTGATTCCGGGAGTGTTGCTGAGGTAAAAGCAGAGTCTAAGGGCAATGCATCGAAAGCGGACTCTAAGGCTAATTAGAAAGCCGGAACAGAGGTGGGTTCTTTTTTTTTTTTTTTTT